GCGATCGAAACGATCATAAGCTGAATAAAAAAGTATTGATATCAGACAACATCTTTATTTATCATAATAAAAAGGTATCTACCTCACCAGCGATCTAATTAATCCCTCAACTAGAATTTTATTTCGGGTACTCGGCAAACCACCGACGTCAAAAGTAATGCAGAGTTTTTACATAATTTTGCTAGAACCTCTTTTTTGTAATTTTAAGACTTTTTCCTTTCTATGCCAGAATAAAATATTATTATTAGTTAATTTATCGATTTATACTTTATTAAATTTATTAAATTTCATCTTTCAACTGACATTCGTTATATCCACGACACTTAAGTGTGATTTCTTTTTATTTCGGAAGACGTTGTACCTCCCCTCCACGCTTCCAATTCCGCACCTGACCCACACTACCACGAGGAGGGAACGGAGTCTTTTCCGTTATTAAATATCCGATTGTTCTATGCATTACAGGCAAGTAAGCCTTCATTTGCTTCATAGCTCTTTGCAACATAAACAATGCTTCATTTTTGCCACAGTATTTTGCGAATGAATAACGTGAGAAGTGTGCATTTTTGCACATGTAATTTCTTTAAGAAAAATGTAGAATGCGATAAATTGTGCGATGCTATCAAAATGATTAACTAATATCCTGATGTTTTGATATACCTTTCTTTTTACTTTCTATTACGTTTTTGGAAATTTAGCCTTTTGGGGTGTTCCCATCTAAAGCATGGGTGATCGGAGAAGTGCAGATTCCGAAATCTACGTACAATTACATTGTAGGAAATACAAATTATTTCATAGTAAAATTAAAGGTGTCATTTTATTTTCTACGCACTTTAATCTCCACGCATATCAAAACGTTATTCTCTTACAGAATCGGGCCTATTATGCTCCAGAGCAGTCAGAGGATGGCCGTTTCTAGTTGGGCTTTACTATTGAGACAAGGCAAAATACCTACAGGGATTTTTGGCATTTGTAAACAAAACTTTACTGCCAAATAACTTGCGAAATATAAGTGAATGGCGCGATGACGCAAATAAAACGGTGACATTGAGAGTATGAGGCGTCAGAAAATCCAAATATTAATTGGATTAAGTAAAATTTGGGAAATTAAAGAATTTTATTAATTAAAGCAAAAAAAATATTATAGAACATTGTTGGCAGGGGACAAAGTACGTTTGTGGTTTATAGTTACGGTGCGACAAGAGCGCATCGATAAAGAAAAATAACAATGAAACAAGTGAACCGGTCAGGCCGGATAGAAGGTGTAAACAAACAATTTTAGTCAGTACTATCCTTAATTGGGTAGAGGAAGCATCATTGACCGTCAGGGTGTAAACTGAAATAATTTTGTAATTAGTCCGTGGTGATAAAAAAATGGGCATGCGGTCCACGAATAATAAGAGAATAGGGAAGTAATTTAAATGCAAATTTATCTGGGAAAAGACTGTAATACTCGTGAGATAATTAGATCGCGAATAAGAGCTGAATTTTTAAGTTAAAATTCCGTCTGGATGTAAGAAGAGCTCGAGATCGAAATACGGAATAGTCGCTGACGTCATTGACCATGTCAAGGTTGCTGTAATTTCTTTAAAATGGAAGTATACCCAATAAGTAACAGAAAGACATTAATAAAAATATTATAGCAAGGTCAAGTTATGTTTAGGTATAAGTTAAATTTAAGATTGAGAAAGAATTTTTATGTGTGTTTTGTTTGAAGAAATTCGATGACCATCAAACAGAAACAGTACAGGAATATAAAGGAATATTGTTGAAAGTAAAATTAATTAAAAAGGAATTCGAAATAAAGTAATTGTGGCATCCGACACTTAATGTCGCTAGCAATTAATAAACAAAATTTGTAAATTGTTTAGTTTTTCGGTAACAGTAGTGACAAACATTTTCTAACGATAATTAAATTATTCACCGCCCGTAGACAAAAGTAGTACCCTGAGAAGCGTACGTATGTTGACGCCCAGAGATTACATAAGAACCAGAGCTAGCCACTCCATTAAATAAAAAAATATTGTAAATATTATACAAGTAAATTCCGTGGTGGTAGCAGATATCTTGTGGTAATCCATTACCACATTATTTCCTTTACCATACCATTATACAAGTAATTAAGATTTACTTCAATAGCAGGCCTCATACGAGACAGTAAAATACAGTAAATAGTTTGGTTATTAAAAGAGTAGAAAATATCGATTCATTTCACTATCAAGTGATTTTCACCTTTAAAACAATTACTTACAAAATGCGGAGTATTTGTA